CACATTCTTGATTTGGGCCACCAAGGCAGTCCTGGAATTTCATTTAATCCCCACGGAAAACATGAGCCACCGTCTGTCAGGAAACAGAGGTGTAATCTGGTCTATGTCATCTGGACATATAAATAGGGCATGGGTAGATGTGAGACTACAGAATGAATGCAGGATATCCTGAAGAGCAAACAAAGAAGGAGGGAGAGAAACCTCAGGCTCTAGGTAGGGGCTATCTTTCACTTTCTCTCTTCCCTGCACTTAGCTAGAGGTCAAATTTTAGGAAGGGCTACTTAGATGCTTTAAATGCTTTGAGATAAACATAAACCAAAATAAGACTTGAGCTGTGCAGAAACTGTCCCCTCTGTGTGAAATATTTCTTTTTTAAAGGACATTAAAACTAGACTATTTCAGGCTCATTTGTAGGAAACAATCTAACTACAGAAATAAAAAAAAAATGATTCTACTTCCATCCACAATGCAGTTTGATTTTTAATAAATACTTTATTCCAGGAACAGAAAGGGCAAATTTAGTGGGAGCTACTAAGTCACCTATCATGTAAATAGGAGGTAAAATTTCATTCTTCCTCAATTCAAACAAACATGAGGAAAACAAAATACCCTTGAGCATGAGACTTTTAGAAATTTTTATTTATTAAGCCTTCAATAATACATAGTTTTCAAATTTAATCTCATGGATGAACTTAAAACTATAACCGTCAAAGCTTGTCCAAGAACTTCACTTAATGTGCTTTCAATAACAGATAATGGCCACTTATTTAAGTCTCTTGGTAAAGTAGAAAGTGTGCATAAACAGAAATGAGCAAGAAGCCCTATTTCATAATCACTCATTTTTAGTGTAACTTGCTCATATAACTTTATGAATAATCAGTTTACTCTGATCCTGTTATCATACAAGGGTAGGCTGTCCATTAGCCCTCAATAAACCAGTTAAAAGACTAAAATCGTGTTGGAAAGTAGAGTTTTCTGTCTCTCAATTTAGCCTTTTCCAGTTCCCATTCCCAGAATTCCTGAGATCCCTATTTCTCTGTTTTCAAATCCAAGATCAAGCTACTCAGGGTTATCAGCTTAAATGTTTCTTTCTAATACCAGCAACATTTCTGATTTAGGGACCCAGAAATCTGCATCTTAAACACATTTTAATTAATTTTTAAGTTAGCATATTGAGTCAGGTATTTCATGTGACATTGAGAATCTGAATTCTGCAGAGGCACATCCCTGCTCTCCAAGATGATTCTAATGGAGTTAACCTGTAACATTTCCATCAAAAGTCAACTAAACTGTCACCACCTCCTAGATATTTACTTCTGGATTATGAGAACCTCATTAACCACCAAATCAAAGTATGGTTTCCCAAGTACTTTAGTCCTGACTTACTTCCTTTTATGGCTTTAAAAACTTCAGCATTGGTTAGAAGTATAATTGATCTATCAAGTGTTCTTTGAACACATACAGGACATTAGGTTTTATCATCAATATGCCTTCGTGCACGCGCGCGCGCACACACACATGCAAGCTGTTATCAAAGTTGCTCTAAAAAGCACATTGTTTTCTAAAAAGAAATTATACTTTGTAATATGATGGCACAGTGACCAAAGCATCAATAACTTGCCCCCCTCCAAAAAAAATTCTGCATCAAACAATAGTCACCAAGCAAAGAAGCCTGCTTAGCCCTTTAGTTCTCAAGGGCACCAGAAGTAGCCCCATGAGCCCACAGTGCAAAGTGGCTCACACATAGTCTTCACAGCCATTCGCCAAATACCACAGCATTTTCACCAATGAATACTCTTTACTGCTTGTCCTTCTCTCCAGTTCTTGAAGACACAGACAACTGAAGTTTCCCTGTTGTCTCCAGGATAGGTGACTTATGAAGTCTGCTCCTCAAACAGGCTGCTGTGGGTTGCTAATATGCATTGTTCCACTGCAATGTAGTGCTCAGCGAGACTGAACCTGAGTGATGGTGAGTGGGGCCCCTCTAGTTTAGGTGGTGTGAGTTGATCAGCAGCTGCAGAAACAGACAATCAGTAACTTCAAAGGGCCACGTTTCCCCTGAGGGTTATCTGGTACTTCCCAAGACTGAAATTCCTCTCCTGGAATGTGTCACGATAGAAATTGACTGCAAAGAGGCTGACCTGCTAACCTTCCTCCTGGCTTTCTCACCACTTGTTCACAGGACAATTTTTAAAAAAATCTACCCTTTCACTTACTCAAAAACACGGGTCTCCTTTCTCTTTCAGTTACAAGATAAGAAAATAATGTAAGGTATAAGGAATAAATATCAGAGTCAATTTCTGTAATGGCCATAAAGAAAGTTCATTACTTTGGATTTTTCACTCTCTTCTCCCATAAAACAACATTTGGACATTAAAAATTTATTTTTTTTTTCTGATTGGGAATATGTTACTGATTTTTAAGAAAAGTTTTACCCTCAAGTGACAACACATGCTGGAGAGGATGTGGAGAAAGGGGAACCCTCCTCCACTGCTGGTGGGAATGTAAACTTATACAACCACTTTGGAAATCAATCTGGTGTTTTCTCAGACAATTAGAATAGCACTTCCTCAAGATCCAGCTATACCACTCCTAGGCATGTATCCAAAAGATGCTCAAGTATACAACAAGGACATCTGCTCAACCATGTTTGTAGCAGCTTTATTTGTAATAGCCAGAAGCTGGAAACAGCACAGATGCCCCTCAGTGGAGGAATGGATACAGAAATTATGGTACATATACATAATGGAATATTACTCAGCGATAAAAAAAACAAAGAAATCATGAGATTTGCAGGCAAAAGGTGGGAACTGGAAAAGATCATCCTGAGTGAGGTATTCCAGAAGCAGAAAGACACACAGGGTATATACTCACTCTATGTGGATACTAGACATTCAATATAGGATAAACATACTAAAATCTGTACACCTAAGGAAGCTAATCAAGAAGGAGGACTATGGCTAAGATGCTCAATCCCCATTCAGAAAGGCAAAGAGGATGGACATCGGAGGAGAGAGAAAACAGGGAACAGGACAGGGACCTACCACAGAGGGCCTCTGAAAGGCTCTACCCTGAAGGGTATTGAGGCAGATGCTGAGACTCATAGCCAAACTTTGGGCAGAGTGCAGGGAATCTTATGAAAGAAGTGGGAGATAGTAAGACCTGGAGAAGACAGGAGCTCCACAAGGACAGCAACAGAACCACAAAGTCTGGGCACAGGGTTCTTTTCTAAAACTGATACTTCAGCCAAGGACCACTCATGGAAATGGCCTGGAACCCCTGCACAGGGGTAGCCTATGGCAGTTCAATGTCCAAGTGGGTTCCATAGCAATGGGAACAAGGACTGTCTCTGTCATGAACTCAGGGGCTGGCTCTTTGCTCACCTTCCCCTGAGGAAGGGAACAGCCTTGCCAGGCCACAGAGGAAGACAATGTAGCCACCTCTGATGAGACCTGATAGACTAAGATCAGAAGGAAGGAGAGGAGGACCTCCATTTTCAGTGGACTGGAGGAGGAACACGGGTGGGGAAGAAGGAGGGTGGGGTTGGGAGGGGAGAACGGAGGGAGGTACAGGGGGGATACAAAGTGAATAAACTGTAATTAATAAAAATAAAAATAATTAAATAATAAAAGAAAAGTTTTACCACCTAGAATTTATCTCCTTCAACTCCTCAGGTTTCTGGAATGGCATGGTATCAGAACCAAATTTGGAAAGTAAGTAATCTCGTAAGTGAAAGATAGTGAGTGGTGGATTAGCAGGTAGGTTGTCTCACTTTGGGGTGATTGTAAATGTTTCGGAACTATAGTGATGCTAATTCCACAATATTGTCAGTGTATTAAAATCCACTGATAGTTCAATCTAAAATAGTGAATATTGTAGAGGATGAAGAGTAAATAATTTTATGATGATCGAAGAGATTGTTCTGTGTTCTAAACAGTTAAGAACAAATATGAACGTGCAAAAAATGTTACACAAAAACTTCTAGGACTCTAAAGGGCCTGACAGAAGTGAAGAAAATACTTACATTGCCCAATCAATTTGAATACTGAAACAGTGGACCGCCAAAGAAATTGCAATTTTTCCAGGAACTTACTGCTGTTAGAAGGAAAAGCCCCCAAACAGAGAAGGAACTTGTCTTCTGAAAAGAGATTTTGCAGTTCTAACAACTTGTCAGCCACCTTAGAGGATGAGATTGAAGCACAGACAAGGATGGGTCAAAGGTAGGCAGGACCACACCTTTGCCATGACTCCTTAGATGTACATATTCTCTGACCTCTATTTAAACCTTAGTCTCACTTCAAGACCCCAGAGAGTGATTGGGAGAATTTCATGGATCTCTGTCTCTCTTCCCAATGTGGGCTCGTGGAATAAATCTCCATTTTTTGCTTTCTATCTTTCAATTATCTCCTTTAGTCCGTTTATTGAAGGCATGTGGCTGAACTTGGCTGGGTGCACACATTATGACTCCCAAAGTTCAGTGATTAGAGCTACATTTATTGCTCATTATGGACCAGACAATAATATGAAGAGCCATATTTGATTTCAGGGAATCTACACGCAGCACTTTTTGTGGTCAACTCTGTTTATGATTTAGTAAAGAAATTGAAGTTCGGAAGTTAACTTATATGCACATAGATAATGAACAAATACCTAGTTCCAACACATTCCAGGTGATTTCAGAGAGCATGCTCTTGAAAGTATGCATGTGTGAGAAATGCATTCATGCTGAAGGAATAAAATTCTATCAAAGCTAAATGTCTCCACAAAACAGGTGTGTCATTTTGTGACTCCTCAAAATGACACGCAGGAAAAAAAAAAAAGGCAGAGCTAGCAGATTATATTAGAGGAAGCAGATTATATTAAGGAGGATACCAGTCACTGGCCTAACTAACTTCATCTTGTCCTCTCTGGCTCTTCATGTAGGTCTTTAATCTTTCTTCCCTCTCATCTTAAATTCCAGGTACAACAGGACTGATATTAAACATGTTTGTGACATATACCAGGATATCTTTGGAAGCCAGTCCTGGAAGTGGACATAGAGGGTGTCTGAATCTTGGAGGCTTGGATCTAAAGTCCTGCCATTTCTCAGGCCAATCATTCCTTTACGTGTAACTCTCCTCTCCTCTTGAAAAAGAGAGACGATGAAGCGCCTATTTTGGCTCATCTTGTTGTTTGACAAAGGGAGGTTTTCTATACCCAGCCCATGTGAGGGGAGTTTCTGTGTCTTCTAAATTGTTAGGGCAAGAATGTCAATATTGAAGCACAATGGCTATAATTGGTACCTTTAGAATTTGTATAATAATTTGGAATGGAAGGAAAGACAGAAATGACACAAAGTTTTGTATGATGGCGTTGTCAAAGACAGATATGAAACCTTTGTGAAAATTTCATTGAGGAATATCCCCCCTTATATTATGTATGCATGCACGTGGTGACTCTTCCTTACCTTCATTGCTTCATTTTTCACAAGAGGGTAATTAGATGTACACCATGAATATACTTACGGGGATTAAATGGCATGATGCATGCCCTTTACCTGCTGCAATAGCTGGCACATGATGAACCCTCAAAGAATGTCGGCTATTATTGATATAAAATAATAATTTGTCATCATTATTTAGCCTGATACAGAAGCATATCTTTTGTGAACAACAGACACTACTACACTTAGCAGATAGGTACTGAACCATCCATCACATTTCACTTATTGTCTGGCTTGAATTCAAAGCCAAATTGGATGCTCAAGTTCACTGATCATTTTAATGCTAGTAGATTTTTGATCCTTGAGGACAGAAGCCATGTGTTTTTTGGGAGCCCCACAGCCATACACACAGTGCTTATGAAATGCTCGAAATTACTCCCACTCCAAACTCTTGATAGAAATGCCACTGCTCATATCTCCTTCCTCTTGCATGTCTTCAACTACAATCCAGGTGTGTTTGTCACTCCATCACTTAATGATGGCTTCTGTTAAGAGCCATAAGCTTCTTTTCAGAAGTACATGAGGAATAAATGGTGCTAATTATGAAATGTCTTTCTATTACAACCTTACATGTCTCATCTATAGAGAAGAGTGATATCCAAAAAAATTGGTGAGTGTTGCCAGGGATTCAGCTGAAAATTACCTGGAGGAACAGTAGATGATAATAATAGCAGAACACATTCAAATGGACCGGTAGATATGTTGCTTTATGCTAGCACCACACCAGCTCTTTATGGCCCCTTACAAGACTTAAGCTTAAAACAATACTTTCTCCTTCGCCACATGGTGCTAGCAGTAACACAGTAAACAAATCCACTCATTTCTTTCTACTCTTAATGTGTGTATGTGTGTTTTTTTAAGGATAAGACCCTGGTTGCCTACAATAACACATAACAGATAATACTTCCTACTTTGTTAAATGAGTTGAACCCTTAACTCTGTCATGTACTAACATGAAACCCTGAGAAGTTCTTTAACCTTTCTGTGCCTCATTTTATCTCTCAGCAAAATAAAGGCAATAATAATTCTATTGTCTTCATTAAATTGTTATGAAAATTAAGTAAGAGTTGCATGAATGGCATGGAACACAGGAAGAGCTCAATAAACCTGAATTGTTATAACTACCTGGCCTCAATAAGCCAAAATTGTTATAACTACTTGGTCTTTGGGCTTACTATAAACTTAGATAACTGAGCAGCCCAGAAACTGGAAGGCCTGGACTAGAAGCCATGCCCTTAAGCTTAAAAGAGTAAGCAACATGGCCAAGAAAATAAAAAGAAAATGAGGCCTTGTCACTCATTTGTAACACAATGAAAACATGAAATCTACCTCCGAAGAGCAAATTTTAAGCATCAAATGATCGAGTGCATGGGAAAGTACCCTGTGAAATACAAACACCTAGTGAAAGTATAAGTATTTTTAAAAGAAATTCCAAGAAAGAGGAAAAATGCATTCTATTTAGCTAATAGACATTTATGTCTTAATTTTTTTCTCAGAACTTCTTATTGCACTGTTATTTGGAGAGATAACACACATTACAGACAGCTGGTACTACTCTCAAATCTCTCCAGGGCCCACCCTGTATAGGAACTTTCGAGATGGCCCTGTCATTTTCAAAGGTTTTTTCCACTGAGCCATCAGTTTAAGCATCAACTTGCAGCTAAGACATGTCTAATCTTGCACAGTTTGAACATGTTAAGGCTATGACAGGGTCATTGAGGGCTTGGAGCTGCCTGTCACAGCTAATGGCTTAGTCTACAAAACATGGAACTGTCTGTGTTCCCCTATGTCCAGATGGGAGATGTGGTATGGAGAGTTGTCATCCATCACAGACAAGAAAGCAATATTTTATGAAGGAGATAAAACAATCAATACATTTGGATTTCCATCAGGAAAAATAAGAATTCTCCAAATAGGTCTTAATCAGTATATGCCTGTCACACAACATGTTCATGTGGAATGTGAGCTGTCTAGAAATTGAAGTCACTTAGAATACAAAAATAAATTTAATATGAGGAACATAGTCAGAGTATACCCTGGCTCTTGAAGTCCTTGAATACTTTGCAAGACAATTTTGTTACCTGGCTTACTGGGATGCCAGAATTTCAGCATCAGGTAAGAATGGGTTTTCCTTAAAAAGGAACAGTACAATTCTATTTCATGGAGAATCTCTTGTATTTGAGCTTAAAAGGAATCTGAAAGTTCTTTCAACCCAATTTGGCCTTTGTATGAAAAGAATTTGTTTTCCAAGAGTATAACTGATATGTTCAAGGTAGCAAAAGTGTTAGTGAAAGAGTGTGAGTTTGAATCCCTCAAAATACTCAGAAGTTTGGAGCAGGGCATACATAATTAAGGAAAACAAGGAAACAAGCAATTTAGGCACATGAACATTTTGCCAAAGAAAGAAGAAAAGAAGCAAACAAAGCAGAACCAGCAAAAGAACAAGTATACGAGAGCACTCCTTCTTAGTGTTAATGACCCTTAAAATTCTCTTCAGCATCAGCAGTCTGGGAGTTCATGATGTGACATGAGTGCATTTCTTCTCTCAGGATTCAAATCTCTATCCTATCAAGTGTAGCTTTGGAGACTCAAACTGAATATAAACCCTTATGCAGCCAGTTAAAAAAGAAGAAAATTTGTGATGCTCCTATTTAATTTGCACTTAAGGCAAAGTTCCTCCCTTATTTCTCTATTAGATTACCATACAGAAACTCACCCCTAGGTCAAGTGGAATCTCCCCTACACTCCAAGTTAATGGACACTCACTTACAGGGATGGCCTTGTTTCTTCCTCCAAGAACTAAATATACCATTTCAGAAAATGTCTTCCATCTGGTTAATTTTTTTTCCCTAAATAATGGCAACCATTGGTGGTTTGGTGGGGGTGGTGTTCCACCCAATTCTGTCTTTTTCTGAAGATTTCCCTTCAATCTGACTACAGAAGAAAAGAAGCATAGAAGACCTAATACTTCCCAGTGCTTGTTCAAGCCTGAGAGAGGAAAGTGATGATGATTTGGAGTGGTTCCATGGAAGCTTCTCACTTCTAGGACTTCAGCACAACACAGCAAAGGTGGATTACAAAATTACAGAGGTCCAAGCACTGATTAGGAGTTGTGGCTGTATGAAACATCAGCAGAAGTGCAAGATGGCTGTTAATGTCTTTGGGGGCTGGCAAGTTAAGGAGAGAGACACACACACAAAATTACTAAAATCTGGTGCAGAATTAAATCCTTTCTACTCTAGAGGCAGGCAAGCGGATGTATTATAAAAGGAACAGTGATCCAAGTCTAGAAGAAGATGAGAAATACCTCAAGAACAAGATAACACGAATGCTAAGTTTTAAAGGGGGATTTGGTTCATCTGGAGATACATGTGTGTTCATGCATATACCTTTCCTTTAATATAGATGACCATTTAGTAACCATAATAAAGATCCTAGATTTAAAAGAAACCTAATTAACATCTCTTGATCACTAAATTGTGAGTTCAGTACATTACTAACGCTTTATATTTATATGATATGTAAGGATTCTAGTGACCTTATATTGACAGAAAATCACTCAGTCAGTCAGTCCTGTTTTGAAGTTGAAAAAAGCAAAACACAAGGGCAGCATGTTAGACAATGGCAGAGGCTGGATTTGAAACCAGGCAATCTCACTATCCCTAGCCTGAGAGTCAAATTGGGAAGACTCAGAATCTCTGCACATGAGTAACCAAAAAAACCTGTGTTATAAAACAAGGGCCCCAGATAAAACCAAAGCAATTAAAGTTAGAAAGGGAGCCACTGAAGTACAGCAACTATTTGCACAAGAAAGCTGAAATACTAGCACAAAGGTTTCACAACACAGAACCAACAGTCATTCATATTGGCATATAAATCTTTCATCATTATTTTACTAAGTCGTTTTGGATTTTGCTGTGTTGCAGTTGATGAAATATCAAAGACATGCAGTTCTATACAGTTAACCATCTGAGATTTGAGGAGGAGGTAAAGGAATGATAAATGGATAGCAGACTCTATAGAAAGCAAAGCAGATCAAATTGCAAAGGACACAGCTCTGCAGTGTGCTGTCAGGAAATGGAATCTTAGGTCCGGGGCAATCTAATCCTGGTCCTGCCATTAAGCAAGATGTGTGACCTCCAGCAAATCACTCAACTTTTCAAGGATTCAGTTCTCTCTTGGAAAACGATAATATACAGCTTAACACGCAGAACACCATAACAATCAAATAGGGATGAAAGTATATGCCAATGAACACTGCAGCAATAACAGATTACTATGAGGATTGGTCTGTTTCGGTAGGATGAGGGTGAGACTTCAGGCTTTCAATTTCTTTCATGTGCTTCCACTGTAGTTGATTCAACCAGATTTTGAGAGACAGTGGTCTAGGTTTTTCTGTCTTGAGCATATAGACCTTAAATGGGCTGTAAGAACTTGGTCATTATCCACAAAAAATAGGAAGATGGCAGCCAATGGTGCCACTTCAAGAAATGAACACTCAATGGTGGAGGGGAGTTATTATTATACATGTCCTACCAAGTCAAATACAATTTTAACATCAAGAAATTCTATGCCAGACGCAACCCCATGAAAGGAAGTCTTGCTTCCATACCTCAGGAAGCATCATTATTGAGCATGCTCCAAAGACTGGGTAAAGTCTTTTTAATATAGAGTGTTCTCTT